CAATATCTTCATACTAGCTTTTGGGATTGGAGATAATGAAAACGATAAGTCATGGAGATGGTTTCTTGAGATGTTGAAGAGGGCGTACGGATCTAGAGACGGATTATGTATAGTATCCGATAGACACAGTAGCATAAGAAATGCCATTGAATTTGTATATTCAGAAGCAATGCATGGGATTTTTTCATACCATTTGCTGAAAAATTTGAAGACTCATTGTGCAAAATCAGGTCACAATGTCACACATGCATTCAATTCTGCTGTAAGAGTTTATACAGTGGATGAATTTGAATACCAAATGCAGCAATTGGACTCAATAAATGAAGATATCAGGGGATATTTGGTATGTGATTGTCTGAAACATATGTTATATGACTTCCTGTCACTTTTTTTGTGATGTTATGAAATTTCTATGAATATCTGTGATCACGCATGTTTAATGTACAAACTATATTTCATTTTTTATTACATGAAATTGAAACATGATTATGAATGAAATATACAGTGCATATTTAGTATGTGGTCTCATTTATAATTGAAAACATAATATAGTTTTATGAATGTGTCCATTTGTGACCTGTTGTGTGATAATAGTAACTATCTGTGAACTTTTTAGAGTTAATTGTGACCATATGTGACTTGTTACTTATAATTGAATCTATTATCTAATAATTTTTTGTAGTTGAATGTTGGATATGAAAAATGGTCAAGATTGCACATGCCAACCAATAGATACTCTACTCTGACATCAAACATAGTAGAATCTGTTAATGCAGTCACGAAGGCGGCAAAAAATTACCCCATTGAAGCACTTCTAGAATCATTGAGGCAAATGGTCCAATCTTGGTTTTGCAAAAATAGAGATGACGCACATGGCACTTTTACGAAACTTGCCATGAAATATGAGAAGCTGTTGAGGAAAATGAATAATGATGTGAGAAATCTAAAGATAAAAATAGAAAACTATGTTTATTATGTTGATCACAAGAATAACTTTAAATAATTTTTATTTTCAGGTTTCACCTGCCAGTCACACTTTGTTTGAAGTGATGGACAATTCTTCATCTTACATGATTAATATAACTCTACATATATGTAGTTGTAGAATGTTTCAAGTGGATCAACTTCCCTGTCCACATGCACTGGCAGTAATAGCAACATTGAAGCTGAATGTATATGACTTTTGCTCTATGTATTACACAAGAGATGCATATCTAAATACCTACAAAGAGACTGTATTTCCTGTAGGTAATAAATCAGAATGGAATTTGCCAGAAGATGTAAGTAATAGAGTTGTTTTTGCTCCAAACCAAAAGAGAAGCTCTGGACGGCCTACTGAGAAGAGAAAGAAGCCAGCATATGAAAGATCACAAGTTGTGAAATGTGGAAGATGCGGTGAATTCGGGCACAATCGTCGAACATGCAGGAACTTGGTGCCACTTAACCAGAATGACAAAAAACTGAAAATAAAGAAAGATTCAAAGAAATTCAAATAGCTTAGCATAACTTTTTTACAAAATGATATTCTTTGTAATTGCAAATTGTTTCATTTTATTGCCGAACGACGTATTTTTTGGATTATACAAGTTGATAGATTTATGCATTGAGCTTTCGTTATTCTCACGATGTCACTTATTTCTGGAAAAGGGCTGTGTAAACAAACATTGATTGTAACTCTGTTTTTTATGATTGTGACCATCTGTGACCATTTCAAGTATAAAATAAGCTCTATGTTTTTTATTTAACTTGTGTTCAAACTAAACCTGAATGTCATCTTCCACTAGATGGGACCAATTCTATGCTTACTTCTTTTGTAAGAGTGTCGATGATAAATGTTAAGAATTTGTGACCATTTGTGACCTGTTCATATGTAACAAGTTAATCAAACTATTCGTGACCATCTGTGACTTACAGTTATATAAGAAAGTACTCATATGTGACCACTTGTGACCTATTAAGTCATGCAAATTAACCAACTATTGCTATTTGTGACGATTTGTGACCTGCGGTTATATAACACATTACTCGCATGTGACTATTTGTGACCTGTTTAGACTCTGCAGTGATAAGTCGTGGAGATGGTTTCTTGAGATGTTGAAGAGGGCATACGGATATAGAGATGGATTATGTATAGTATCCGATGGACACAATAGCATAAGAAATGCCATTGAATTTGTATATCCAGAGGCAATGCATGGGATCTGTTCATACCATTTGCTGAAAAATTTGAAGTCACATTATGAAAAATCAGGTCACAATGTCACACATGCATTCAATTCTGCTGTAAGAGCTTATATAATGGATGAATTTGAATACAAAATGCAGCAATTGGACTCAATAAATGAAGATATCAGGGAATATTTGGTATGTGATTGTCTGAAACTTATGTTATATGACTTCCTGTCACTATTTTTGTGATGTTATGAAATTTCTATGAATATCTGTGATCACGCATGTTTAATGTACAAACTATATTTCATTTTTTATTACATGAAATTGAAACATGATTATGAATGAAATATACAGTGCATATTTAGCATGTGGTCTCATTTATAATTGAAAACATAATATAGTTTTATGAATGTGTCCATTTGTGACCTGTTCTGTGATAATACTGACAATCTGTAAACTTTTTAGAGTTAACTGTGACCATATGTGACTTGTTACTTGAATCTGTTATCTAATAACTAAAATTATTTTGTAGTTGGATGTTGGATATGAAAAATGGTCAA